CATACATACACACACACACACACACACACACACACACACACATTTCAGCATGCAAGGAATATTGAGAAGTTGCTGTCCCAAGTAAAATTGCACTGTAACATCAATATAAAGATGGGCTACTCATACAAATACTGTCTACAGAAGGAATTTTTACACAGAAGCAAATGTTTCAATGTGAACCAGAATTCTGCATTATAAAATCATATGGGAAGTTCTAAATACAAACATACCATAACAAGATTACTTACGCCATTGGAACAGCCTATGGCTATGAATCTACATTTATGTTACAATTATTCTTCTGCAGAACACTACAGTTTTTACCAGAAGCAATATATGGAACTGATACTTAAATATATTCTTCTCTTCATTGGAACAAAATGGATTGCAATCAGACATTCTTTTGCATTACCAAAGCTAGGTTAGAGCAGAAACATGTCTGCATTACTGATATTTATTGGGGACAGTGGATACTGCCTACTCCGAGCAATACTAGTCTGAGCTACAAAGGTGAGACTGCATCCTACATTTTCAAGAAGGGAGGCGTAGGAGGCATGCTGACCTGAGGAAGTAATGCTTTTTTGTGGCAGCGTAAACACTGTGATCAGCTTCCCAGTGGATATCAAACTATACCCTGATTTTCAAAAATGGTTGAAAACAGAATTGTTTTAGAGAACTTTCTCCTAACCTTATGTATGCCATCCTTTACTTTTATTTTTGTTCTTTTTGACTGTGACTTTGCTGGTGTCATTAGTTACATTCCATAGGTTTTAAGTGTAACCATGAACATTTTATTTTTATTTTTCTATTTACATTCCATAGAAATCACTAAGAATCAGTTTGGTTGCAATGGGACAGAAATGTATTAAATAATCCTGACAGAATGTGTCCAAAGGGTTGCTTTCCTGTCCACAGGATTTGTGCAATTGGAGAAATTTCAAGTTATTTGATCTGTGTCATAACTAAACTCACTTAAAAACTCTAGCTTGTTTAATAATTTATGTATGTTTTGTATTCTGTGGTTCAGACAAGTCACTGAACTTTTCTTTGATTAATGAATATATCTAATTACAATGGTTCAGTAAATTAGTGCACAGGTATTCCAGAGATGGAATATTTTCTATATTGCTCATAATACTTTGAACCATATTCTACACTGTTATTTTGGCATTCCTCTTCCAGAAAAGTTAGCATAAGTATTCTCTTGATGCCCTCTTGACAACTTTGAGAATTTAGACAAAACTATCTAGAATCAGCAACTGATTGCAGTAATTATTTTTTTTCAAGTATCTGATCATTATACATTTTTAAATATTTAATAATTGTATTTTTAATATTTCTAAAATTTTCTATTTTAAAATTATGGTTTTAATTGAAAATGATAAAACATTTATTTAGTTGCAAGAATTCCTATTATTTATCAGTTAATAGTGGTATCAAACCTTTTTAAGCGCTAAGTATATTGCAGAATCCCCACACACTGTAAAAGTAATGTGAAGCCAGAGAAAAATAAATGCACCAGCATTTATCTCAATTTAATTAATTTCTTTAGTGAAAGAAACCCCAGTCGTTATGAAATATTTCCGTAGATAAAATACTGATCAAGTTATTTTACTTTATAATCCCCTTAGGAGTGAATGCGGGGAGGAAAATATTTTTGCACCTCCACTTTGGCTAGAAAGACACACTTTGAGTAGAACTGTACAAGTTTGGGCTTGTTTGATTTCGGATCCAAGACACAGCTTTGGTTTTTCTACTTTCTGAATCTTCATGAATGTCTATGTGACAACTATGGTAGTATGCACAGGACTATTCAAGTTAGCCACAAAAGCTGGAAAATAAAACTTGAGCTGCTACAAATGTAGGGTGTAGGACAGTTCTTTCCCAAACAAATATCACCAAAGTTGCCTTTGAGGGACACAAGCAAATCCTGAATTTTCAAGATGTAGCTTCTTTCTACCCCTCTCTCCAGTCGGTAGCAACCATTGATGTGGATTGAAATGTTCGAAACTGCTCTTTTGCTTTGCTTTTTCAAATCCAATTATGTCTGAGGCTTTGTGGTTTTATATTTGGATTTTGTTCAAATCGGATGCATATACATAACCATGCAGGTTTTGCATATTAAAAGGTATTTTTGTACCTGGAAAGTTAGAATTGTATTAAAGAATTCCTAATGCAATACACAGGGTTAAAAAAGAGTATAACGGAGAAATGTTAAGAAGATTTGCTTCAGTAATTCCACTGAAAATAAATACGCAGGATTTTATACCAAGTGTATTACAGAACTAAACTAATATAAAAATCTTACATAATTCCTACAGAAGGTAATTAAAATCCAACATCAACTTTTGTTCTTTTGTAATAAAAAAAATATTTTACAAATCTTTAAGCTTGGCAATAGAGTGCATTGTGACTTATTCATAGATGTATTCCTTCTCTATGCAGGCATTTCTGTAAGAACTGACAAAATAGCAAGATTCCAATGCAACAAGCTTAGAAATAAGCTTGACTGGTATTTGGTTAGAACTTTCCACTTTCTGCAATGCAAAATAATTATCCTTGTGATTACACGAATGTATAAAAGTTATCTTGGCAATAATATGGAAATACTGTCTTTATTCCCCAGTATAGTCTGCAGATTGGGAGTAGCCTAAGGGCTTCCAATTCCAATTATAAACAAGGCCAATTATTTAATTTGTTCCTGATTAAATAAGTTTCCTTGGTTTTATCACCTACTGTGATATTGAAGCAAGGCCCCACTTAAAGGTGAAATGTTGCATCTAGCCCCTCCTCCCAAAAGTGTGAATATCTTTTCTGGGGGCCTTGCTTGGCTGTCATCTCCTGCCTTCTACTAATGAATTTACTTTCTAGTTTTCATAGTCAGAATAGCCATGGAGATACAAAACAAAGGCTTCTCTCTTTATATAAGTAAAAGGTAAAGCATTCTTGACTGTCTCCATTAAAAGAACATTAGTCTTAGCTAATTTCAGGGGGCAATTCTCATCTCTGTTTCTAGGCCATTGAGCTTGTTCAAAGAAGTTTTTGTGGTCATCTGGCTAACTTGACATCATGCCACAGCGCAGAGCATGCAGCGGAACATGGAGCACTGTTACCTTCCAACCAAAATGGTACCTATTTATCTAGTCACATTTGCATGCTTTTGAACTATAGGTTGTGTGGAGCTGGGGAAAAATGGGCCACTGAGTCATTGCTCTTCATATGCCACTTCTAATTTCTACATTTATTTAATTTAAAAAAATGCCAGTTTTAACTAACAGAGACAATAGATGAAAATTATTATGATTATTCCACATTTCTGCTTAGATGACAGAATGTCGCCATCTTCATCACCACCACTACCATCATACAAAAGAAAAGTAATTCTGACTGTGGGATCAACCAACTAAGTTGTCCACTTTGAGAAAGGAAACAGTTGATGTATGATGTTTATGCCTTGCATTGACCTCTTTTTTAAGAAAAAAAATATGGTATAAAAGAAGCAAGTTCCAGTTATGAAGACTAAATAGTTTTTATTCCCTACCAAGGCTCTTCGGAAGGGTTTAGTTACATATATATATAGTTTATTTTATTGTGGTAATATATGATACAGTAGAAGAGAGTTTCACTTTAAAGTCAACAATATAGTTTAATATATAACATTTATTTGGACCATTTTTCCTTATCCAAAACTAACACCACTGTTTCTTTTCAAAGGCAGCTTTCCAGAAATTCTTGCAGCATTTAGAAGGACAAGTTTAAATGTGAACAGCTAAAGTTGTCACTGAAGTTAGCTCATCTCTCAACAGGAGTATACAGCATCTTAAAAGGTTTCCAGTCACTGAAGTATGAAGTATATATTTTAATTATATTTTAATTCATAATTCCCAAACAGAATTTACATAAACAACCATTTCTTTTTTCTTTTTAAATTTATTTTATATTCTGAAAATAACAGCTAAATTTAAATTGTAGTTTAGGAGATTTCTGAAGCAACTTGCACAATACTGGATGGGGGAGAAAAAAAATGGAAACTTGATACTAACCAAATTGGCAAAATAAAACATATCCTGTAATGTTATGCACACTTATTTGGGGAAAAATATCTTGAACTTAGTGGGGATTAGTTTAAATAAAATTCCAAAAGGCGCAGAGATGACCAACATTTGCACTGATTGAGGTGCTATAGTTTAAAAAGCTGGTGTGAGAATAAGAAATCTAGCAGCTATTACCAAAGCTATCAGCAGATATTCTACCACCTTCCCAAAAGAGACATGCCTCATCTCAATTTGCACCTAGAATGCACAAAAAGACCAAATCAGTTTTGCAGCAAGATTGCATCTGAAAGAGTAGTGTTCACTGGAACTTTTGAGTTGTAGCCTTAGACCTTTAATAAACACTATTAATCAGATTCTGAGAGACTTTGGATTAACTGTTTCCAGTCTAGATTGCTAGGAGAAAAGTATGACAGTTAGAGGTAGTCCTTGACTTACGAACACAACTGAACACAAAATTTCTGTTGCTAGGCAAGACAATTGCTAAGTGAGTTTTGCCCTATTTCACAACCTTCTTGCCATAGTTGTTAAGTGAATCTCTGTAGTTGTTATGGCACTAACATGGTTGTGAATCCGGCCTCCCTTTTGACTTTGCTGTTGACAAAGTCGCAAAAGGTGATCAGAGTTGACTACAGAGGTGGCTCTAAAGCACTGTGAAGCGGTATATAAGTCTTAAGTGCTATTGCTATCACATGACTCTGGGACACTGCCCACATCATAAATATATGCCAGTTGCCAAGCAGTCAAATTTTGGTCACGTGGTCATGAGAATGCTGCAATGGTCATAAATGTGAAAAACAGTCATAAGTCACTTTTTTCATTGATGTTTGTAACTTCACTAAACAAATGGTTGTAAGTCGAGGACTACCTGTAATTTGATTGGGATCCTGACAAGATGAGGAGAATCCATCCTTCCGTAGTGTAATAAAAACTAAATATTCAGATTACCTGTTTGAATAAAACCTCATTCCATCATGTTGATAAGGGTCATCTACGTAGAGAGAAGAGGAAGAAATTGTGGTTGCTAAAGAAGCGGCTTCAAACAGAGATGCTGTGCTTGGCACTAAATCTGGATGATGTCGGGAGGCTAATACTGTATAGGAAAAAAGGAGAAAAAAGTCACTCCTGCAGAGAAATATGTAAAAATCAAGGGCTCACTTGCCATGAAAACACACAAACAAGATATAAAAACGCTGTGTTTGTGTGATCATCCACAGCTTCATTAAATAAGGGTTTTATAAAGTTACAGATGAATATTATGGCTCGGTGTGCCTTCCTAATTTTAAATCCCTTACTGCATTCTGCTTTTGAACCAAAGATCTTGATTTACAGTGTGTTAAGATAACGCTCAATCTTAATGCATTTTAAGTTGGGGTTTGTTTTAGGTAATCTGCTATTATTATCTATTATCTTCAGAAAAGCTTAAAACATTTTTCCCATTTGTTTAAATAAAAGGTGTACAATTATTTCAAGTCAAGGATTGAATTTGAGTTTGATTGATATAGCAGGGGGCTCATTTCAGAGAAGTAAGTAAGTCTAGCATAAAAGCTGAATTTAATGTAATTTGATTAAATGCAAATATAATTAATTACAATCGATATTATTTTTCAGAAGACTTAAAATCGATTTGACAGCTTCTGAAAAGTCTGGAGAGCCATAGGTAGGGAATTAGGGAGATTTGTTATTTACTATTCTGGAATACCAGAATGCGCACCTCTGTTTTAAAACTATCACTTTTTCCTTTTGGCAAAGAATCCTAGCTTTGTTATCTAGAGCATCTTATTTTACTGAAAATTACCTTCTTCATCAAGGCTACAGTAACTTTGTCCTTCTGTGAGTAAATCATGCTTTTCATCTTTCCAGTCTTGGCTAACTACTGACACATATTCTTGTGATGTAGCTTTTAGAGCAGCAATAGAATTGCATCGCTTCTTGGAAGGAGATGACTTCAAAACTGGGGTTTTAAAAGGGAGATAATGAAAGTAATGTAAATATAGATTATTTTTATAGCCAACTTTCCATTATTATGCAAACACTTCCTTTCATTGGATGTTTCAAAAGAAACTTGAACAGATTACTCAAATAACTGCTGTTATCATAAATATGACACAATCATTTGTCGTCTGAAAAATCCATAGTATGTGCCAGTATAAATGTGAGAAATAGCAGATTTTAGTTAAAAGTTAATAAAACTTGAACTCAACTATATATGGCAAGGAGTTACTAAGAGGCTAACTATAGGTTATAACAATGAATATCATTTGTTCAATATTTTTATCTTGGACAAGAGAAACAATTTTATGGCAGTACAGACAGAAATTTTCTTGCATATAACATTGTAAGGGAAAAACATGGATTCAGTGTATAATTCAAAGTAAAATTCAATCTTAGTTCATTTTTTTGGATAGCCAAAATGATTTAAGAACTTCAGTGTGTAATTTAATGTGATGAGCTATAATATTCATTTTTATAATAAGATTTAAAGATTCATCTGTTCCTATGTAAATAGGAAATGTTATCTGCATCTAAAGATCAGTATTGGTTGACAAGGTGGTGCTTCTCTGGATAGACCAGTCCAATAAATATTAAGTGATATTGACAAGACATTGAGCTCAGGCTTCATCTCTTGTATCGTGAAGAAATGCTAAATTCAAATACATGTTCCTCCATTAAAGGAACTGGACAGAGATATGGCATGAGCAAGATTATTTTCTGTACCAGTCTGACTAGAATAATATCTGCCCATATCATCATCACATAATCATGGAGTAACACAGGGATCCATTTAGAATTTAAGGATAATTCTTAAAGCGTCTTGTATGCAGTGTAGTGTGTAAACACTCAAAGACAATCAAGAATGTTTTCCATATTTTATAATAACCCTTATCTTGAATATTATAAGCATCTATATCTAGATGTACTTACAAGATTTGTAAATAAATTCATACACTATTAATTGCTCTACCATAAACTATGGTATTATGGTATAATCAGAATACTAAAGAAAACACAGCCACAAAGTACTAGAATCAAGATACAAGAGCTGTGTGTAATCCAACTACTTAAAATTATATATCTGCAGTGACTTAGAGGAATTTCAGTTCCAATGTGTTCCATGGGTGAACTGACTTCCCCTGAAACATATATACATATCATTAAGCCAATGGCATCAGCTTGGATGCATGTAATCAAGCCACGGTTCAGCTTCCTTTTGTTTCAGTTACATGTCTTTTAAAAAGGAAATTCCGTTTGCAACCAAGTCACTCTTGCTGAAGTGGCTATGTTTTGTTTTGGTCTGTCTTATTGTTCAATAGCTCGGCATCTCTGTTTACCTATTGACCAGAAAACCAACTCTAATTAGTTACTGGTTTTCTCCAAGTCTTGAAAATTCATGGAAGGATTTTCAGTGGTCCTGAATATTTTAATAATCTAGAACTGCACTCTCAAGGCTTACTCAACTGCAAATTTGAAATTATAAACTTGAGCAACAGAAAGCATCATCACCTGGAACTTAAGTATATAATTTGGGAACCCCTGTTAATCAGAACAAAGCTCCATCTAATCCAGGATCCATTTTGTCTTGCAACAAGCAAACAGGAGTTTCCAAGAAGCCAACATCAAAGGCTTTTTGCCAACTGCCATGGCAGCAGTTTACAATATTGGCCTGTAGTATTTATATTGTATTCTGTTCTATCAGCCCAATTTCAGAGAATAAGTAATCACACAAGCGAGGGTCCTCTATAAAAAAAGATAATGTTAAGAATGGCTAGTTAGTTCATAATATGGTGGTACCTACTCTGATTTTTTTTGAATACTCTGGTACTCATAAACTTTAAAAACCTGTCAGCATAAAAACTTGGTCGATGGACTGAAACTGTATCCTACAAAGAAACAAAACAGCTTTGTCAGTAAGAAAAGAGGAGAGGATGTATAATCTACAGATCAAACAACAGAACATGAAACTAAAATTCAGTGTTTTCTTCTCACTGGCAAATTTTTAGCATACCATTAATTAAATAGCATAATAATTAGAGAATACTGCATCCATTTTTTAAAAAAAAATTATAAAAGCAATTTGAAGGATATTTTCTTAACTCACAAACAAACAAACATTCAGCAATCCCTAGAAAGTTACTAAAGTGGCTTTTTTCCAGAAATTTGCCTCTAGAAATTGTGGGTGCTCCAAAACTGGAAGTTTTAAGAAGAGACTGGACAACATTTGTCTAAAATGGTGTAATGTTTCCTGCTTGAGTAGGCAGTTGAAGCAGAAGACCTCTAAGGTACCTTCCAACTCTGTTGTTCTGTTAATTCCTGACAAACCCAAAATGAAAAGATATTCTAGATATATAGTTGTTTCAAGAGATGGCAAAGCTCTATGCACAAAATAGATACAGCTCTTATTGCTAAACAGAATAAAGGCAAAAAAGCAGCTTTCTACCTTACATGAACCGCTGATATAATTCTAAAAACCATTAAAATTACTTACTCCGTCATAAACAAGGGCTTTCCAAGAATGCTCCAACTTCTTTATTAACCTGATGACGATATACCACAAAAAGGAGTTTAATGAACAATTATCCCTCCCTTTGGCAACAATATTGTTTTAACTGAATGGCACAGAAAACAATGAATAATGTTTGAAATTACCTGTAAGACTGCAAGATATCAATTATGCCCATAAATAGCAGCAGTTTTTCTCCTCTGTAGCTTTTAGCTGGAATGCCTCCCATTCTGACAGAAACAACAAAATAATAGCAAGTCATTGTAAAGCCTACTTTCTAAAGTAACCATAGAAATATATTAACAGCTAAAAATGGCCTAATATATGTATATGTAGTGAAAAGGTTTGCACCATATGGTAAAGGCTATACAATTGTCAAAATTTTTCAAAAAAGTCTCTTTCCATCCTCAGTTTGACTATGTCTGAAAATTAAGATTATGCATTCCTCTGGTGTATTCTTTTTCAAACAGTTATGTCACAGTTCTAATAATACTAGGCATTTAAGGATTATTTCTGTGATTTTGTATACCTAAAGTGTTTAAATCAATCAATCACATTTGGGCCAACATTTTCAGGAATGGAGTGGCAATGAACTAAGAGGCCATTGTCATGCCCCTGTCAGAATCTGATTCTAAGGGGGAGGCTGAGCAGCTGACAGGGAGTGGGGGTGTGGCTCCGTTGGCTGTGGAAGAAACTGGGGAAGGGCACAGTCCGGCTGGGCAGAGCAGGGGAGAGGTAGAGCAAGGCAGAAGGAATTCAGAGGAAGATCCAGGCCCACACCCTCTTCATCCTAGGGCATGCAGGAAGGAATGAGGAAGGGAGCAACGTGAGTTGTGTGGCTTATGAGGGAGGAAAGGGCCCTGATTCCCTTCATTAGCTGCAGCTGGGAACATAGTGTTTAAAAAGGGAGTTTGCGCACAGCAACTTGTTGGAAGCAAATCGTGAGTTATCTTTTATTGTCAAGGCTTATCTGGGTTCCTGGCGTCTTCCCAGCTGTGTGTGTTTTGTTGGCCTTTCAAATCTGCAATTCATTTATCCTACCCTGTCCAGTTAATTGCTGCAGCATGGTTTGTGTGGATTTTTATTTACAGTTTATATGTACTTTGTTTTTGAACTGAATTTCTTTCACTTAAAGACTGTTCTTGGCAGAGTTTTTTCTCCAGCTGAAGGTAACTGGACATTGGGGGCAAAGTTGGAGGTATTAAAGGGACTTTTCTTACTTATGTGACTGTGTTGCCTTTGTGCCATGCCCCGGGTCATCACAGGCCATGGTCAAATTATTTGGGATCCTGTCACTTTGCCAGCAATTAGGTCTGGCAACTTTTGAGGCTAAAGTAATCTGCTCTGTATTATACTTCTTAGCATTTCATAGGCAACATTTGTTTGGTTTTTTAAAAAGTCCATTTGACTTTAACTTTGTTTATCACCTGAAGGATAGTCTGACCCACTTTAAATGTAGTACAGAGAACAGAAGAAAAATATTTAAAAATCCAGTAACTTTTTGTTTTCAAAGGGCTGGTTTTCAGAGACTTACGTATTGGTATTTTCTGTGATGACACAGTCCCCTGATTTTCCTGGACCTTGAATGGACTCCATAGCAGTTGAATAAAGAACTCTTTGTCCTCCTGGACGTTTAGAATCAGAAGTGTTTTGAAAAAATTCCCCTTCTCTCTCTTTTGCTGAACTGTCCAAGATGTGGATGCCAAGCAACAAACTATAATCCATGATTTTAAAGCTTTCCAGCACCTAGGATCAGATGTTTTAGACTGAAGTCTGTTATGTTGCAAATGGCAGAAGAGTTTACAAGAAAGATAAATTATAAATAAATATTGAACAGAGAAAAACAATTACTTTAATTTGATATTCAATAAAAATGATCACATCTAAATTTAAGTTTTTAAAATTCTTTTGCCAGACTCAGAATAAATAGGATTATCTCGTGTCTAAAAAAACACTACAGCTTTCTTGTTTTCATATATCCTTAGCATACAAAGTCTAAGAGTAAAGGTGGCAAATACAGGATGCCCTGTGCTACAATTATAAAGATACACAGCTGACTGAACATAGAAACTCACAAATGTACATCACTAGCTCTGTGTGAAGCAGGTGACTAGTAAGGAGGGCTCCATTTTAAGCTGTACGCTATTTAACATAAAATGATGAAATTTATAACCATTTAAAATAAATAAATTCAATATAAAGCATACAATGTGGTAATAAATACAACTCATCTGTAAATATATTTTACTTTAAGGAGATTACAGATATTTTATGTTTCTGTCATGAAAGTGAGACAACTATATGGAATATTTTTCAGATAGTTATTTGCAATATTTTTTGAGTTCTCATTTTTTTAAAAAAACAATCACCTCTAAATTTCAAAAGCAGAATTCAAAAGTCTGAAAAAGCTTTGTTTTAAAACATAGATTGATATTTGGCTTGGATATTAACTAGATATTTTTGGAAAGGAACTATTATCTTATTTCTTCTTCAACATCTTTGGAGAGGTGGGGTTGGTATAATCAATTAAATCTACTAAGGAACGAAAATCTGCATAAACTTGAGTTTCCCGCTGATACAAAATTGCTTCAGGGTTTGACACATAATTGCTTTTCCTCTTCCTCTTAATAGTTAGAATATTAATCAAAAGAGAATTTGACCTCATTCTCCCATAGAATGGGATCAAAAATGATATATAAGTGGAATGAAGAAAAGACACATGAGAATAAATGTAGTAGTTTGGTGGTGCAATCTCCTATTATTGTAATCTATTTTGAAGAGAAAATGACCAAATATTGGAAATCCTGGTTTGAAAAATGTAGGCTGAAGAGGAACCTTATAAGATTTCATTTTTCTCTATACTTTATATAATAATTACTCAATTGCTCTTTCCTAATGAATTTGAACACCGGAATTTCATTCCTGTCTATCCTAGTTTGTGCCTGTTTTTTCCCAACTTGAAAATCAATACTCCAGATAAAATCTGCATAATATCATATTTCAAGCAGAAGAGATAAATAAAATTCCAAAATTCTGAATGACAGATGAACAAATTTGGAAACTTGGTAGGAAGAAGGAGGGTGGGGGGATAATGTAAGATCTGGGTCACACATTCATAGTTCTTCAGGGTTTATTATCTCTATCAATTACACCACAGAATAGTGAGCAACAGCAGAGAGGAAGTATTATGTTCTCTTATTTATTACTCATATATCAGACTGATATACTTGTATCACAAGAACTGTCAGTGGTTAGTGGAACAATAAGATCTATAACATAACAATTAAAACATCCACAGTAAATCAATACAAAATTAGAAAATAAAAGTAAAGCCACCCATACAAAGGCAACCCATCCCAATTAATTTCCTAAAACCCATCAGACTGATTTAGTGTTAATTAGCTTCCAGAAAGTTATAACGGAGGAGCATAAACTAGCCCCAAAGGAGGCTAGTCCGAAGCACTACAGGTAGTCCTCAACTTACAACCACAATTGGGATGGGAATTTCCATCACTAAGCAATGTGGTTGTAAAGCCCAACATCATGTGTCCACATCACTTAGCAATCAACAGTCCCAGCTGATGTGGTAACTTAATAAATGGGTCATTAAAGCAGGAAGCAAAGGGAGTCCCAGGTAAGGAGCTGGAGTTGTTGCAAGGGAGTGCGGGAACACCTGGGTGGTCGGTGCAGGCCACACACAAGTTGCTCTGTGTGCAGTGCAGGCCACACACAAACTGCTCTCTCTGCAGTGCAGGCCACACACAAGTTGCTCTGTGTGCAGTGCAGGCCACACACAAATTGCTCTCTCTGCAGTGCAGGCCACACACAAGTTGCTGTGTGTGTGTGTGTGTGTGTGTGTGCGCGCGCAGTGCAACATAAGCTAAGGAGATGAAGGAAAAAATGTGCACAGTGCATGCATGCAAACACAGGGAGGACAAGGAAAAAGTGCATTGTGACTGGGGAGCTTTTTGGCATATTTTCGCTCTGAAGCTGCAAGAGGCCCCTGAATCACAATGCAATGTGAAATCTAGTCCCAGCCCAGACAAGCACCATAGCACAAAGGGGCTTATCGGAGTGTTGCAGCTCTGAGACTGTAAAGAGTCCTGAGCCATAGCATACCACATAGCCCAGCCCCAAGCAGCGTGGTGTGAACGGGTTTCTTGCTGTCTCAGGAAGTCACAAACAACCCAGTACAGCCCTAGTCCTAGTCACCCTCACCATGCACTCTGAGGCTCATGCTATGTCTTAAGACTGCTAAGGCTCAAATTTTGATCACATAACTGTGGGGCAATACAGTGTCCTAATTATGGAGATCCCGTCATTGTATAACACCATAATTTTGAATTGTCGTTACGGTCACTAGTGATCTTACTAAGAAGCAATCTTATGAAACTATGGGCATCAACCAGCAGCTACTCTCAGGAATGTTATATAGATGGGTCAACTATATGTTGGAGAAGACTAAAGGCACTAGATGCCAAGTCTTTTAAAAAGCCTGTAAATTAAAGCTAGCAATTTGAAATGCATCAAGCTACCAACGCAGGGCTTACAATAGTAGTGTAATATGTTATCAGTGTGGCAACACAAGCCAATTCAGCAGTGGACTGCTGTGTTCTAGGCCCATTGCCATTTCTAAGTGGTCTTCAACTTCAATCCTAATTATTTTAAAAATGACACATCGATGTTCATTTGTGCGTACAAGCAAGCAAAATGTTTGTAAGCCAGTAATTTTATAGAGTAATCTGTAAATTGGTTTTGCATGGTGCTACATGACACTTTACTTTAGGCCTTCTCCACAGCCCTCTGAGTGTCATAATGTGGTCCATTCTGATTGGGAAATTCCCAACTGTCCAGAAATAATTTTCAAGAGGATGATGGGGCAAAGCAGAAAGACAAATAGGAAAATATCATTAAGAGAAAATATACAATGATATATGGCCATGGTCATCCTTAAAAAAGTATTGGAAATACCAACAACAGGAGATGTCATCCAAAATTAGAAAGACCTTTCACGGAACAACATGAATTGATAATGATGATAACTAGTTTTGTCAAGATTCTTACAGTTTGCAAATATTACCTTGTTAATAAAAGACAACACTTTCTCTAAATCAGCAGCCCCCAACCTTTTGAGTATCAGGGACAGGTTCTGTGGAGAGAGGTTTTTCTGTGGCCCAGAAGGGACATGGCTTCACACACTACCTTCATCCCATTGATGGGGTTTTGCTTGTTTGCATGGCCCAGTTCCTGGCATGCCACATTCTGGTGCTGGTCCACAGAACAGGGGCTGGGGATCCCTGCTCTAAATTAAGGCAGCATCTCCAGAAACCCATCTATTGATATTTAAATTCCAACATGGAACCTGAGAGCTCTACAGAATCACTAAATAATGAATACGTAAATAAACAAAATACATTTTCTTTATATATTACTAGTACCACAACGATTTACACTCTACATTTTAGGATACAATGCTGTCAGGCACTGTAAAATAGCATGGACACCTAAACTCACTCAATGCACTTAAATCCATTTATTTTATTATTATTTATTAAACCAATTTATATAGTGAGCCATCTCACAAACAAGCAACTTTGGGCATTGTACAACAGAGTTAAAATCAGTTAATAAATAGATTAAAACTATAAAAACCAAGCTAAAATGAAGAATAATAGGAAAAAAGGATATTAAAAATAGCAGAGCCAGATCATTAGTTTCACTGTTCCCTGGCGTCGCTAGGCCTCCTGACATTACCAAGTCTCGAGGGACTTCTAGAAGTTCAACAATGACTAGGCCAGCCTAGCCCGAGGGGTAAGAAGATTGCACAGTGGGAACACCATGGCAGAAAAGGCACACCACCTAGGCCTACTAAATGTAGCTTCCTAGGTGACAGAACCTGTAATACTGGAACTGATGTGATCTTTGCTGGATCTGATAGGACAAGAAAATAAAATTGAGACAAGGCAGTCCCTCAAAAAACTGATTTCATGCCATGAAGGGCTTTAAAGGTCAACACCAACACCTTGAATTGGATCAGGAAACAAACTGGTAACTAGTGCAGCTCACGGAGAAGAGGTATATGTGTTCTACCAGAAACACACCTATCTTCCTTACCGCTGCAGCTGAAGTTTCTAGATTATTCTTCAAGGTCACTTATATACTAAAACACAACTCCTAGACTTGCTTTTCCTCCAAACGTTTTAGGAATTCAAAGAAGAATGACTCAAAAATACCCAAATGCTGAAAACAGAAAATACATTTTGAGTAAGTGTTCATCATACCAAACAGATCAAACAGATAATCAGAGTTGGAAGGGACCTTATACGTCATCCCCCGCCCAAGCGGGAGACCCTACACCATTTCTGGCAGATGGGAGTTCAATCTCTTCTTGAAAGTCTCAAGTGATGGCTCTCCCATAACTTCCGAGGGCAAGCTGTTCCATTGGTTGATTGTTCTGACTGTCAGAAAGTTTCTCCTTATTTCCAGGTTAAATCTCTCCTTGTTCAGTTTCCATCCATTATTCCTTGTCTGGCCTACAGGCGCTTTAGAAAATAGCTTGACCCCTTCCTCCCTGTGGTAGCCCCTGTGGCAGATATATAATGTATATCCTACTCCAATTCAATAGGCACTGGGTGGCTCTCTTAAAGTATATATATTTTTCAATATGCAACATTTTAAGTGAATATATTTTAGGCATTTAGTCCACATTTTACATCACTTACAATAGTTTGGTTTTAGCGTAAGGAACTTTTAAAACAGTCTTATAATTTTTATATTGCAATTAAACTTTTGACCTTTATAAGAGAGTATTGATATACGGCTTCCCAGAACAGACATGTCTATGCATTCCACATATCACTAATTGCCTGAGTTCACGGAATATTCCCTTCCAGAAACTACAGTGACAATGTCCTTTGTTAGGAAGAACATCTGATGAGTTTGCAGCTGATTATTAGATCATCAACTTCACGCTTGATTTCCAAACAAAAGGCAGCCTCATGCTCACTAATAAGACTTGACACAATACGACAGTGTGCTAACAAGCATGGGACTTTGCTAGAAGTGGTGCCTCTTTGCTTCTATAACTCCATTTCAGCCACATTATTTTCTCATAGCATTTTAGCCAATAGAGCCATATTAAATTCTTTCAGTTCCAAGAAGCTGCCATTATGTTTTGTTTTTTATTTTATCACAAATGCAAAAAATTTATCATGGGCATTCAAGGGTGCAATTGTCTTTGTGAACCATCATCACTTCCATAAATTACTCCACATTATTCAATATTACTTATAGGCATAGGCAAGCATTCATTAATTGTATCTAAAACTTAACACCTTCTACACACACAGCCACATTTCTTTGAAGTACTGATGTTCATAAGCAAGTTTCTATATTCAACATAACCACAGACAAATGGAAACACACACATCAATTAATGTTGTGATTGGCTTCATGTTACTTTCAAGGAAAGTTTTTCTTTGTAAAGAATGTAATACATGAAGCTAAATTTGCTTTTTGTTCAGCAAATCTTGAAAAGCAAGACTCAAGTATTTTGCAGACATTTAAGGTTCTGTCTCCTCCACAGGAAAAAAAAAAGTAAGTGTAAATTTCATGTCCATTAATGTATTGATTAATCTAAATTTGGAAAAACAAGAGAGTATTTAAGCATCTAGATTTTTAATAAAAAAACCACTGCCATTTTCTGTGAAATGTTCAACAGAAAAATATAGTTCAAAATAATTGCCTTTAGAATTTTTTTTTGTTCATAGATCTTTATATGAAATAATTTTGCTTATGAAAAAAACAGGAATGCAGCAAAATGGAAATAAATGCCTTTAGAAGAATATAACAGGGCATTATGCATGGGGCAAATAATTGTGTAGCAGGATATGAGAAGATTAAAGAAAAAGAGACATAGATGAAAGAAACAGGACATTCCTATTGTAAAATCTGGGATAGAAAAGAAGACCAAAAAAAAATGAAGACATACCATTTTTATGTCTTGACAAGACAGAGAAACAGTATTATGATCAATAACAACTTGGAACTCAACAAATAATATCTGTAAAAGTATTTGGTCTCAAATAGTAACCAAACAGCTAAGTAAAAATAGCAAAAATGACAAAATAAAATATTAACTGAGTAAAAAAGGACAATGGACCTTGAGGACATGCATCTTAATCCATATCAAAAAACCTAAATAAAAGTGCAATTTTACCTACGTCTGCTCATAAACACATATAATTGAATTTAATGGGATTTACTCTTGGTTTGGTGTGAACTAATTTGAAGCACAAGACAATGTACAACCTTAGGGAATAATAAAAAGCATCAATATAGGAAGAAAATGGAATAAAAGTATCAAATTGCAGTTTGATTTGAAGGCCAATCTAGGTGCATTCTACTTTCAGCAAAAAAGTTATTCAATAATGGCATAAGTTTTATAAACTATAGGGCAATCCATCTTCATACAATGTTTATACAATGCCTTGTTAACAATAGAGTTAGGGCTTGATAATAGAGGTTGAACTCAAACTTTTTCACTTACTCGGCAATCCCTTTGTAGTGTTTTCATCAATGCGCTATAGGTTTCCGAGTCAAAATATAATCCTTCGTGCAATTCTTGTAAGAAATCCAAGTCCTTAAATGTGGGGTTAGACTTCTCCCGTTCTTTTCGGGATGCTCTTCTTTTGTATGTAGACCCTTTCAAGTCGTAGTTGTAATGCATTTTCAGTGCTCGAGGCAGAACATTGTTCATCACAACTATCCTGATATTAATACCCCCCGACTGAACACAATACAGGCCATAAAATTTGGGTAAGAGCGTCCTTGGGTTCTGGTTGAGATTCTTAAAAGAAACACAAAATATATCTATGAACATTTGCAATACCATAACGTATCAGCATCCATCCTTGGCAACTTTTAAGACTTGAGGACTTCAACTCCCAGAATTCCCCAGCCGGCCAGTTCTGGGAATTGCAGCACACAGGTCTTAAAGATACCAAGGCTGGACACACCTGCTGTAAAGTATAACTCAGATTAGAGTTCTACACAAAAGTAAATATAGATAGGCAAATCATTTCTATTTCAACAAATCATTTTTGGACCCACCACTAAAATGTGTCCATGTGCTAATTCAAGCATTTTAAACTTTAGTCAGATGGTCGAACTTTTAGGACTAAGGCAGACTTTTCAAACTTTGCAATACCAGGCCTACAAATTAAATTTATGTATCTTCTTCAAATAAAATAAAGATTGATTTTGTATAAGGGTTGGAGTAGAAATAAAGATACCATTTTAATAATTTATTTCTAATCTTTATATCAGTTCAAACAATAACAGCTCCTTATAACTTTACAAGATGAAACCACTTCATTGGGAATAAGCCAAAACATCTCCCTCAATGTTTAAAACCATTTTAATGGTACGATTTGCCATTAACTCATTCTGAAAACAGTGGCTCTCATTCAACCAAAGAAATGGGGGGGGGGGGGGAACCAGGAAGCTCCTTGCCCTAAATTAACTTCTTTTAAGCAGCTTTTTAAAATACTACAGCTTGCAAAACACTGGATGTAAATTGCCTCTGGCCCTCTTTCTGCAGGCAACCACTCTTAAAATAATAATCCCAGTACATCTTCTTTTCCCCTTCCTGTCTATTCCTACAAATCCTTTTTCCACTCATGATTTTCTTCTTATACCTCTCTGCCCTTCCTTTACCATCTAGGTTTCTCAACAGAGTAAGCAGAGAAATTAAGAGGAGGAAATTAAGACTCCTACATAGGAGTCTTCTGCCCTCAAGTACATTACTCCACCTTTGAATTAAAAAAACAAAAGGCTTCAAAGTTTTGTATCAAATTGGTAAACCTGCCTAGAAAGGAGCTGCAAGGAGAACAACATGCTTAAAGCTTGAGAAGCTAACATCTGGAGTAAACAATATGTCAGGGGTCTCAAACTCAATTTACCTGGGGGCCGCTGGAGGCAGAGTCTGGTTAAGGCTGGGCCGCATAAGGGATTCCACAAAAAACGTTGTTAAAAAAATATCCTCAAATGTTATACTTTCATATCACGGTGGGGGCCACAGGCTATCGTCCTGCGGGCTGCAATTGGCCCGCGGGCCACGAGAATGAGACCTCTGCAATATGTGTTTCCTTCTCCTTCTTGGAATGTGCCCTGGTGAAGACTATTGGACTGTGGCTAGATATTATTTGAACAGTGATTATTGATTAGAATGAACAATAACCATATTTCCTTCTTATTAACTTCAAATCCTGATACAAAGGCAAAGTCAATTAACAAGAATGGAAAGTATAGCGTTCATGTTATATTTACCTACATCTAAGACAGCCATTAAGCAAATTTTGCATAGGTTCCTATAGACCAGTTTTAAGCTTTAAATCTACAGTAAATACAACACTGCCATCAATTTTTGGCCTGTAAAAAGATTTTTCATACCTAAAAATTGAACAACCAATGAAAGCTTTGAAACAAAGAAAATAAAAGTTATATCTAATAAGCCAATTACAATTTGCTCCTTTAGGGGTAAATTATTTATCAATGAAACCAGATACAATGGGATATTTATCAGTATCATGATCAATTGCAGAAAAAACAATTACTACCAACCTGCCTTCAATCGAGGACCTGTATACTGCACGAGTCAAAAAGAAGACTGTGAAAATATTTACAGACCCCTCACATCCCGGACATAAACTGTTTCAACTCCTTCCCTCAAAACAACGCTATAGAGCACTGGACACCAGAATAACTAGACACAAGAACAGTTTTTCCCCGAAAGCCATCACTCTGCTAAACAAATAATTCCCTCAACACTGTTCATCTATTACAAAGTCTGTACTACTATTACTGTTAATCTTCTCATCACTCCTTATCACCCATCCCCTCTCACTTGTGACTGTATGACTGTAACTTTGTCGCTTGTATCCTTACGATTTATATTTAGTGTTTCCTAGTATGATTTGATTGCTTATTGTATCCTATGACTATCATTAAGTGTTGTACCTTATGATTCTTGATGAATGTATCTTTTCTTTTATGCATACTGAGAGTATTTGCACCAAGACAAATTCCTTGTGTGTCCAACCACACTTGGCCAATAAAGAATTCTATAATATTCTAACTATTCCACTTATTAAAGAAAGTTTGTCTATTAACCTCAATCTTATTTTTTTAATTTCTATTTATTATATGCAATATAATAGGATTACAAATTTAGAGAGAGAAAGGCATTTTTAACATTCAACAGTTGAACAAGGAACTTAAACATACACACATATAACACAGAAACCAAATTTAAAAAGGACTTGAGTATCATTACCATGTAGTAGCCAGGCAACAGTTTCTGAAGGAATTCTGCTTCTTTGTGTTGAACTGTTTTGATTATGAATTCATCATCACTAGTGACAAAGAACAAGGATCCACTGGCACCAGGATTCGATAATTCTATTAATGGTTCACTGCAAATTGAATACTGAATACACAAACAGAAATTTAATGCCATTCTGTGAAATGGATATATAGAAATATGTTTTAGGTATTTTAAGAAAGGAAGTCAAGAAGGCCTTTGTGTACCAAGTTCCTTGAAGCTATCCAGACTACTCAACTGTGTCAGGTCTAATTGTTTTTTAAAAAAGAAAAGAAACAGCAATAAATTCTTTTACATAATATGGTATGCTACTTCTGACATAACTGTTAGAACATTGTTATTGGTGCTGACTGAAAAGGCTTCTTAGGAGGCTTTTATTTTTTGCGTAATTTAATGAAATATACGAATAAAACTTGCAAGGGGATATATGTCTTACACAATTCCTTTGCTCTGCAACAGAACATATGCAATGCTAACAGCTAAAAACTCTGAGTAATCTAACAATATGACAAAGTGGAATTAACTAATATCCCGGGGACAGATATCTTTAGTTACGTTTTAAGACCATGTTTTTGAGGTTTATCTGTGGTTAAAAACAGAGGTTTAATCCTCTGTGTATGGTGCTATAAAAACTCAGATCAAAACTGATCCCAGATTAGTCCTATTTTTTCTTATTTGCATTTTTGTAAAAGACAAAGATAAATTATACTTCAACAGAGATTAAAACAATATAAATAATTGGGATGCATAACTTAAGAATAAATCAGTTTATCAGTTCCTCAGATAAAAGCTATAATGAAGTTTTCATATCTGAATATCTCAATGGCCATTCTGGCTGCTGAGAAAGGGCGTTGGTACTTTGAGCTGTGAAGAGCATCCAGTAGTGGGAGGTGCTTCAGTCTCTGCATGTCTAGGCTAGGCTTAATTTGTGGAACGCTCCTCCTCCTCCACAGGACTCTTCCCCAGCGTTGCCCAGTTTTGGCGAAGACAAGAGAAATAAGCCCCCTCGTCCTCAATGCCCTAACAATTCGTTGGCTGAAACAGGAGCCCACCAGAAAAAGGGTGGGGCTGGATGCTCTTCATAGGTCAAAGAGAACAGACGTGTCGAACTTCCGGTTTGCCAGGCTTCGGCGACGGCAGGGACTCGCGACTCTGCGCGATCCCTGATGTGCTAGCTGTCTTGGTGCCTCCAATCCCGACGGGTCTGTAGGATAAGGCTGCCCTGTAGAGGCAGCCGAAGACAGGGGGGGTCCGGACAGGGGTTGAGAGGTATCGCAGTACCCCTCCCCAGCCAGCAAACCCCCCTTTTCTCAAGGCGGTGGAGCGGCGGTCTCTAATGGCCTCCACGAAGAAGCCGGCAGTTGGACAAGACTGTGCAGGAGGAAGAAGGAGAAAGTTGCAAAGTGAAAGTTTCTTTGGCTGAACCAGGACTTTAAAGATATATTTAATACCCTGAAAGCTACGATCTTTTGGATGTTACATTGTTTCCAGTAGAGGTTTCTTAAAGCGGCAAATGGAAGTACTGAAAGGGAAAGTTACTCTCCCTCCTTTACGGAGTTAACAAATGGACACTGAAAAACCTGCTTTTTTACAGAAGGTAAAAATTTAAAGCTCTTTGTTACAAGTGGGAAGGGAGAGGACTGGAAAAAAAACCTATATTAAGACTTTGTTGGAGGAGATGCCTTGAAGATTAAGAGACTAGAAGCTAACTGCAATAAGGCTTTAAAATAGAGATTGGGTTTTTTCCTAACTGATATTACCCCAGGAAGAGAAATTGCAAACGGAAGAACTTTGTGCTTTGTTTGGACTGCTTGATGACTCTGGGACTTTGGGGAACTGTTTTAAGTTTTGAAATATCTTGGTTGGTTTAACAAGAAGAAGAGGAAAAAGAAAAAGAAGAAAAGGTTTATAATGGCTTTATCTCTTGATGAATTAAGAAAACAATATGGAAAAACAAGGAAAGAAGGCAAGGACGCTGTGGGAGAAGCCTTTCGCTTTTAAGAAATGGCACTTGCTATTTACCAGCAAACTCAACAACAGGTGGAGGAAGCGGAGGAAGAAGAAGCCATTTTTAATGAACCAAAAAGTTTGATCAAGAAAGAAAAGAGAAAGAGAGGAAGGAAAAGGAAGGACTTAAGACCTAAAAAAACATTCAAGAAAGAGAAAAATAAGATGCAAAATCAATACAATGTTAGAAAGCAAAAGGAAAGAATACAACAGAGAGGGGAAGCTAAAAAGGCGGAGGTTAGGAGAGGAGTCAGTAAAAAGGCTAGGTGGGTTAAGAAAGAAAGGAAAAAGGGGAGGAAAAGCCACAAAGGTATAAAACAAGATGGGAAAAAGAAAAAAAAAATTAGGGACAAAGGGTAATGCATAATTTAAAAAAAGATTCTGCAAAGTACATATGATAGTATTGTAGTATTTGTATTAGAAATAGAAAATTAGAATTTTATAAGATTTAATAAAAGATTAAAATATTAAAGTGTTTAATAATGTTAAAATGTTTAATAATGATAGACTTTAAGTTTTAATAAAATATTAAAGGAAATGTTTAAAATATTTAGTTTAATTATAGAGTTTAATGGGCTAATGTGTTGATGTTATTATAGATTTATTGTAGCACCTGTTTTTGAAATAGACAATTGGAATGTTATAAGACTTAATAAATTAAGTTTAATTAATAAATTAAAATATTACAATGTTTATGATTCAATGATAGATTTTAATATTTAATTATGTACTTAACTATTTTAGAGACTTATTCTTTTTCTTTTTTTCTTTTTTTTTCTTAAAAGTAGGTAGAATGTACTAAGCAGAATCAGATTGGGACTTAGGTGTTATTTTAAATGTTAATCTAGGGGAATGATAGAAAGGCATCATACTTTGATTAGTGATTTCAGGTGAAATTTTCTTTTTTTTATTATTGAGAATGAGATAAGTGCTCAATTGGAAAAGAATGGACAAAAGATATAAGTATATTGATTTAAAGTAAGATGAAATATATAAAATAGAATTAAGAAGACTGAAAAGCGGGGAGGAGTTATACAGAAGATATAGAATGGTAAATAAGATAGGTAATGGTATATAAGAAGAGCATGAATTTAATTGAAGTCCATACAAAGAGAGGTAATCTGGGGCCAAGCTACTTTCTAAAATGAAGTGTTGTTTTTGTGTTTTATGTGTGTATGTTTGATTGAGAATTAATAAAATCTCGGAGGAATGTCAGATGAGAATAATTGCAAACAAGTCAGAGGGAAATATAAATATGATGACTATATAATAGATAAATATAGAAAAGAAATGTAATTGAATAAGAGTAAAGAGAAATAATGAGAAATTTTTTAAAAGATATTTATGTGTTTATATGGAAATGGGGTAAATTAAAAGTATGCAATATAAAATAATGTTTTACCTGCCTTGTAAAGATTTACAATGAAAAGAGGTTTTATGTTTTCAATGTTTAATGATGTTTTGTTTGTCTTTAAAATTAATAAAATTTGTTTCAAAAAAAAAAAAAAAGAGAACGGACGTGTCAAGTACCAACGCCCTTTCTCCTATGAGCTGTTCAGAGCATCCAGTAGTGAGACATACCAAAGCTTGGCCTGTCCTACGGGAGGGACTCCGTCTGGCCTAGAAACCCTTCCTGGTCCCTGTGGACCCGTTGCAGAACTCTTCTGCCAAAGGAGGCCTCAGCGGATGCAAACATATCTATTTTATAATGCCTAATGAATGGCGATGAAGAGGCCCAGGTTGCGGTTTGACAAATTTGAGTTTTTGGTGCCTGTGTGGCCCACGCTGCCGATGTTGCGCCGCTCCTTGTTGAATGAGCTGTTATGCCCCTGGGCACCTGCAGTGATTGAGTCTGATACGTTTTCATTATCACGTCCCGTAGCCAACGGCCTACTGTAGAAGATGAGACCTTGCATCCCTGAGTGTTGGGCTGAAACGACACAAATAAGGCTTCCGTTTTTCTGAAAGTTGCTATGCGGTTAATATATATTCACAATGCTCGCCTCACATCAAGCCTATGCCATTGTAGTTCCAACCCTTGGGATGGTCTGGGACAAAAATTAGGAAGTATTGGCTCTTGTGCCCTATGAAAAACCGAGTTAATTTTGGGAATAAACATAGGATCAGGACGAAGGACCACCCGGTCAGAATGGAAAACACAAAGATCTTGTCTGATAAACAAAGCTGCAAGTTCCGAAATACGACGAGCAGAAGTGATCGCTACAAGGAAAACTACTTTATACGTCAGAAATTGGTGACTTGACGATTTCAAGGGTTCAAAAGGGCCCTTAGTAAGTGCGATGAGCACCTTGTTAAGGTCCCAGGTGGGATAACGGTGTACCGCTGGAGGGCGTAAATTTGTGGCTCCTCGAAGGAAACTCCGTATACATGGATGATGGGAAAGAGATAGTAGACCTTCACAAGTGAGAACTGACGCCAAGGCCGCCATCTGTATTTTCAACATATTAGGTGATAATCCCTTGTCAAGTCCCTCTTGCAAGAACTCTAGGATTTGAGCCACAGATGGAGAGATGGGATCAATTCGAGACCCAGTACACCATTTGCAGAAACTGGACCATGTGGCAGTGTAAATGCGAGTTGTTGAGGGGCGTCTGGCGGCTTGGATGGTGGTGATAACTGTTGGGAAAACTTTTCGCTCTTCAGACGATTCCACTCAACCTCCAGACAGTCAGGTGCAACCATTGAGGGTCCGGATGTTGAAGGGGTCCCTGGGTTAGCAAGACTCTGTCTGGCGGAATTCTCCATGGTGTTGATATGGATAGACTGCAGAGGTCTGCAAACCACGGCCGTCTGGGCCAGTAAGAAGCTACGAGAAGCAGCTCCGTCCTCTCGTCTAGCAGTTTCTGGATGACCTTGGGAAGCAGTGGAAATGGCAGGAATGCATACAGAAGTCCCAGGGGCCAATGACAGCAGAGCGAATTGAAGCTCTCCACTCCTTGCTAGGGTTACTTGGAAAAAAATCTCGGGAGCTGAGCATTGAGGGGGGAAGCGAACAGGTCCACCACCGGCTGTCCAAATGTCCTGACCGCCTCTTGAAACAGGGTTGGATGGAGGCGCCACTCCGATTGATTGATCGTAGCCCTGCTTAGCCAGTCAGCCTGTGTATTCGACAGGCCTGAAATGTGCTCTGCTCTTATGGAAAGTAGGTTGCTTTGGCTGTTACGTTGCCGGTCAATATTGGTATGTGCTGATTGCGTACCTGTGGAAGGAAGCTGTGAAAAGCCAGGTGTACTGCTTGAAGCTCCAGCCAGTTTATGCTGCACGACTGTTCTATGATGGACAAGGGGCCTTGGGTTGTGAGCGATTGAACGTGTGCTCCCCATCCAAACAGGCTGGCATCGGTCGTGATGGTAAGTCTGTGTGGCTCTTTGAAGAGTCAGTCTCTGTTGATGACTGGTCTGCTCCACCAGAGGAGAGATATGAGGACCTTTGAACCATAAACCTTGACCTTGTATTTGGAGTTGCTTCGGCCGGAGTGCTGGTATGGGAGCAGGAACCAATGGAGGGATCTAGTGTGGAGCCGGGCCCAAGGGATGATAGATACACATGAGATCATCTTGCCTAACAATTAGTTCCACTAGGGACACCCTCTTAAGACCCCTGATCTCCTTAACTAATTGCTGAATGCTATTTAGTCTATCTGGTGACAGGTAAACTTTGCCTTCCACCGTATCTATGACTGCCCCCAGATGAGTTAACCGAGTCGATGGTGTTAAATGACTCTTTTTCTAATTTATTGAGAACCTGTGTTGTTGTAGGGATTGTAATGTGTTCTGAGTATCTCCAACTGCTTGATGATTGGAAGATGACAAAATCAGGATGTCATCAAGATAACACTGGAGTCGTACGGGGATATCACGGAGATGAGCAGCTAGTGCTGCAAGAACCTTTGTAAAGGTCCTGGGGGCAGAAGCTAATGTTGGAATGAGGGACATGCTCCTGTAAGAGACGGAACCACCTGAGAGAAGAACGGGTAAAGAAGGAAGTGGCTAAAACCAAGGAAATCGGTTCAGATAGTGTTCTAGAAATGATATACCATTTATTTTTTCTTTTATTCATTCACATTAACCTGTATTCTTTGTGATCACAAAGAATGAATTAATTAATTATGAATACTTCCTAACATATTTTAAATATGTTCTCAGTAGCCAGAATGGCCATTGAGATATTCAGATATGAAAACTTCATTATAGCTCTTTTATCTTTATAAACCTGAAGTTAAAGAGTCAGCTTCTCACAAGATAACGTTTCTATATGAAACACTGTCTCCTTAATAAACTGCATACTCCCAGGTATACACAATTTATGAAAGGAGAATTTAAGGGGCAGATTAAAAAGAAAGCACAATGAAAAGTCAAAAGATGTCATCAAAAATTAAATTCTACAATCAATATATAAAGCGTGCACCTGATGTATTTATTTTTGGGAAAATTTCCTTGAGAATAGAATTGCTGAGACTCAGTTACATTAATAATAGTCGCCAATGTTGCTTAAGCATTGGTTTTTATTTCATTTTAAATAAATATTACTTTTTTTTTGCATTGTGCTGTAGCAAAAATGAGCACACATCGACCTTGCAGGGTTGCTCACCGGTTGTCAGCTTTGGAGCTGGTGCCATATTAGCACCAGAAGCTTCCATGCTGCCACATTCTTGAGCTTGGGAAGTTGGGAGGGGAGGTTTCATGGAACGTATAATCGACATAATAGCATTCTTCTTTAAAGTCAAGGTCATGTTATTCCTGCACCTGGTCTAGGAGTGGTTGAAGGGAAGTCTCAAGTTGGAATGAATGGTGATTGGGGCATGTGATGGAATGATGGGTGCAGGAGGTGGATTTGTAATTTTTTACTTATTGGAGGAAAACGTGGAACTTTCAGATTCGGGTTTTCCCAGATGTGCCAGTATAACTATTCTAATAAAAGGAAACTTTGACAAAATGCCTGTCTCGGAGGAATATGTAAGATCAGCACTTTAAAGCTTCTTTCCTGCTTGTCGCATCCTATTAAATTATGTTTTAGCACTGCAAATAGATGTGTTTGTTTTACCTGTTAATGCACTTAACAAAGTATATTTATGTTACTTAATGATGGATTACATTTTTATTCTATTGAAAACTATATAAAAATGTGAAATGACTTGGGAAAGATGAGATTGAGAAGTTTTGCCAGCAGTAACTTATGGCAATGAACAACTTTTTAATCATTTTGATGGGTTTTGAATGTTATGCTACACTATTTATTAAGTGGCACATTAAGTACAAAAGAGAAAAATTGCACGCTACACTGTGCTGCAAACACAATGCAATACTGTATACTACAGCTCTCTAACTATTCAGAACAAGCATTCAATTGGGATCTTATGGCAGCAGTTCCCATGACTGACTCTGTGTTACATTTTGCTCTGTGAATGTTTGGAAGGGCATTCTATAGCCATGATGGCAAACCTATGGCACGCGTGCCTCAGATGGCACCCAGAACCCACTCTGTGGGCATGCGAGCCATCACCTCAGCTCAACTCCACCATGCATGCATGTGCACCTCCCACTGGCCAGCTTGTGTTCGGGTCTCTGCAGCGCGAACGGGGCGCATGCAGGTGGTGGGCCGCATGCACGGGGGATACACGTGCATTGCATTTTGGGGATACGTGCATGTTTTGGGCACTCAATGCCCAAAAGGTTAGCCATTACTATTCTTAATTTTCTATATAAAGGTTATGTTTCCCTAAGGAAACATACATGTTGTTAGACAATTAAAAGGAAATTAATGAATTACATGTTTTCACTAAAATTCAATCAGCAAAACCCACAGGGGTATTTAAATTCAATTATAGTATTTCTTATAGAAATAATGACTTGAGTAGCAGCCACACTTCAGTTGGTGAACTGTCAATTAATACATCAAATTTTAGGACAAGCAATTAAAAGCTGAAAATGGAAATGGTCAACTAACAACTCTATGCACTTCAGAATGTCTTGATAATATAGGGATCTTTGCCCTGACCCAATCTGTTATACACTATATTTAAAAGAATTACTGCTACCCTTTCTCCATTAAAAATAGATACAGATGAGTGGAATTTGGTATATGAATCAAAGCAAATAATACTGAACAATTTTCTTCACTATGTCAGGTGCATTGCTCAATCCAATCACAAATAAAAGTAACTGATGGTTACTGATTCTGAAGCAGAAAGAGCTTTTAGGTTTCTTATATATACTCTGTGGGAAAAAGTAGGAATAAGTCTTACCAAGTAGTCATCAGGCTTAATACCAAAAAGTTCTCTGAAGTAACGGAAAGCTAGAGGTGCGTAGGTCTTAAATCTAAAGTCTGGATAATGATGAGCCGGTGTCAGATTGCTTCCTTCACTGAGTTGAAAGAGAAATTTAAAATATTATGTCTATACATATGCATTTATAATATATACATCTTAACCTGAATTTTACTAAAAATAGAAGACTTTTCAGACTCTTCTGAAGAGTTGACTGAAGACTGAACTAATGCAACAGAATATGAAGATCAATCAATCAATCAATCAATCAATATTTTTGGCTGCTTTTCTTCCAATATACTTCTTGAAGAAAACCCATGCCTTTAAAGATGTACGGGATTATACTGTGTTTTAGGCAACTAACATTTTCATCAAATGCTAATTATTAACATCAGCATCCCAATAACATTTTTCAGTAAAATACTTTTATGTACTTCATTAAAATTGATACAGATCAAAAGTTTGAAGCATAAAAGAGAAACAGCATTTTTTCAACCATAAGGTAAAGATAAAGGTTCCCTTCACACATACGTGCTAGTTGTTTCAGATTCTAGGGGGTGGTGTTCATCTCCATTACAAAGCCAAAAGAACCAGCACAGTCTGAACAAGTCTCTGTGGTCATGTAGCCAGCATGACTAAACACCAAAGGCGCACAGAACGCTGTTACCTTCCCACCAAAGTGGTCCCTATTTTTCTACTTGCATTTTTACATGCTTTCGAACTGCCAGGTTGGTAGAAGCTGGGACAAGTAATGGGAGCTCACTCCGTTACACAGCGCTAGGGATTTGAACTTCCGAACTTTCTGATCAAAAATCTCAGCATCTTAGCCACTAAGCCACTGCGTCCCTTTTCAACCGTATCAATATACTATTATAATGTCTTAAAAAGATCAAATTGAATTTTTCATTCTGTTCTTTCATCATTTCTGATTTTTACTCTTTAATTGCTTAATGTTTTTAACCAATTAATTATTTTATTCTATTTTAAAGTGTATTATCTGTTCTTCCTGAGAAGAACTGAACTACATAATAAGATTTCACAGCCTATAATTTCTAAAACAGCCTATGTCCTCTCAAGACCAATAGTGTGGCTTCCAAAGCCTTCCCAAAAGTTGCCACATAGTTATAATTTAACTGTTCAAAATGGCAACTTTTAAACTTCATATGCATTGTTCCTGAGCAGGTAGGTAGCAAAGCAATCTAGTTGAACTTCTTCTTCTTCATGTAGCTAAGTGAAGTTCTGATCCTCATTTAGTTTGAAGACATATTTTTTTTCTGGATAAAAGTATTTACTATTTCTAGTTTTTACTGACATTACAGAAGAAAATATTAACTATTTAAGTGAACAAGGATTGCCAATACAAATTTGTTTAAAGGTTCAAAACTCAAGAAAACCTAGCAATAGAAACCATAAATTTAAACTGCATAATGATACAAACGTTGTAGGAAAACTATAAAATCATACATTACACTATTAATGCAGCCTCATTTATGTGCTATGCTATGTTACATTATGTTATGTGTGACTTATGATTTTTTTAAGCAAGTGGACTCAAACATCCCAGAAAGTCAAGAGCAAACAAATCACATTCTAGTTTAGCTTGTTATGTAACATATTAAAAGATGTCTTACGAGATCTAACTGCTTCTCTGAACTGCTCTGAAACCTTACTTTTTGTTCCAAAAGTTGCATTTAGAATCATAAACTCTTATACCCAGAAACTCAGCAAATCCAAGTGTCAGTCCCCAAGATCACCTTATGTTTGGATTCTGACACCGAGAAATCTGCAAGACTGTACTGTACTACTTTCCCAGAATGTTAACAGAGATTATATTGTCTTGTCGAGCAACAGACATTTATAAAGGGAAGGCTGCAGTCTTTGAGCAAAAGACTGGGAGAATAAGCATTTTTAGCTATTTGCTGGGTTCAGTTTTAAAACAAACTGACTTCAAAATAAAGAGAAACTCTATAAATCTATAAATTGCCTCAAAGGTACAAAATGTGAAAGACATCGTATTTTTACGATTAACTCTTGTAATTTAACGAGGCTCAGCCAATCTCATTGTACACATGTTGTACTCTGACAATAATGGTAATAATAACTTTCCTCAGGAAAACCAAATGCGTCTGCACTGGCCATCATTATTTTAAGTCATTTTAGGTGTTGGGTTTTTTTTATATCTGCAGGTGACGGATTTCAAAAATTAGTATTTATCAAACTCTGCTTGGAAAAGGCTTTTCAAGAGGAGAACACAATGTGAACAGTTGTTGAATCTCCAAAGTGCAATTTCATTTTTCATTACAAAGATTTTATTTCTTCTGTTGCTAGATTTTTGCCTATTTTCTTCAAACGGGAAATAAAACCAATTTCTAATCTGCGGCACTTCTCCATGAAGAAAATCAATCACTTAAAAACATATTAAGTATTAAGCCATGCTCTTATGTTATAATGACTATCAGTCGATGTGCTAAATATCTATACTTTTACATGCCGTTTAGTTGAAACCTTCAGTACATTTTCTTTGGAATTAAACAACAGTTTTCAGTATTAACATATTAAGTGAAAAATTTAAATAATGTGTAATAATGTACTCTCCAGAAACATGCACCTAGATAGAGCTTTCTTAAATACATGAAGAACTGTCTAGAAAATTGGTTTTGTATAAATACTTCAGAAAAATATAATTTTGTGTTATCTTTTCGTGTAGATACTTCTCATCATAAAACACCATCATTTTCCTCAAATGTAGTAAGACAACACTGAAACTGTTGATTTTCTGCTCTCCTTTAATCCCCTATAACTCTTCTTATTCAAATTCTGACTATTTAGAAAAGCAAGGATGAAACTCTACATCGTACATATATCAGTGTGATAACTTGTCAAATAAAAAAAGTTATTACTCAAAATATATTTTATTGCCCCATGACTATTTCTTTTATCTATTATTATAAATAGAATATTCATAAAACAGTGTTTTCTGGAATTAATGCATAACACAATCAAAAGTTTAAGAATAAATTTCAATTTATTCTGGATATGAACAATACCTAACAAAGTAATACAAAATTGTTCAAACGGACCATACAAAGATCTATATAGGCCCAGGAGAATTTCAACCAAGTCTTACAAGTTTTCTTTTTATTGTTTTTCACAGTACAAGAACCATGTATTAGCAATTTGGAAGGAAGACTGGTTATCACTAGAATTAATCAATAAATCTGGTAAATAATATTAGGGAAATAAAAAATAATTAACTCATCCTTTACCTGGGAAGAAAGACACTTTCGACTACATAGAAATCTTGCATAAGTACATCTCTATCTGGTTTAGATGTAAGGTTACCCACTGTGTATCCTATTCCCAGTTGTATGGCACCTTTGATAGCTGACGATGCAGTCTGCAAAAACAAATATATATTACGTTTAAAATTGTCATCTTGAAACACATAGGCGGGGTTTTTTTTGTAACCTTCTACAACTCTAAGAATATTTCAAATTCCTGGCTTCCCCTATCTAAAAACAAGTTGATTCCTCCAAAAGCATTTCTCAGATTTTGAGACAAATGATCTCAGTACATCAGACAAGTCTACCAGAAAGGTTAAAAAGGTATTATTTGAAACTCATAGGTCACATACTGTATGAAAAGAAAGTTCATACCTCAAAAGCTGCCTAGTATTGAGGAGGAAATGAGTATTCCTCTGCCTGCACTCTCTCTTTTCACAGCAGATGGTCTACAACAGAAAGGAAGAACTCTGGAAAACTTCAGAGTGCTCTGGAATTCTAACAGCTCCCATAAATCATGTTATAATTTAAGCAGGAGATGAAAAAAAAGCAAAAAAAAGGAGAACGTCATTTTTTCCAATTAACGTGCTCTTAACTTCTTCCTCTGCTTTCCTTTCTGTTCTCTTTCTCTCCTTTCTTGCCCAATTGTGGGGAGCTCAGAGCCTGTAGTTTAGGAAGATGCTCAGAGCCATGATGATATGCAGCTGCAGAGGAATAGGCAAGGCAGAAGAATGAACTCAAGTTTCTAATGGAAAGAATCAGCTGGCAGGGCATTACTGTCATCTGTGTAAGCCGATTATTACCACAACTATAGTTGCTGGATAACTGGTAAGAAAGATAAATACTTCCTGGGCTAAAATGCTACAGTGAAACTGAACAGAGGGTCCCATTGAACATTGTAGTTAATGGGTCAGGAAAGGAAATACTCAGGGAAAAAGAAAAATAGACAGTCATTGTGTTTCTGTGAGTCAAAAAATCAATATGTAGGAAAATCAATGATATAAAATTTGTTTTCAAAAGGTGACTTTTCATGTCTGATTTTCAAACGGGATGCTATTAAGAATGTGATGATGGCAGCTTTTGAAAAAGAGACAGAAAGGGAGAATTCTTCTGAAAAAAGGCCTATGGAGATTCTCAGTCATCCAGATCATGGTTTTTTCAAGGGGCAACTAGACTTTTGAAAAAGGACCTTTGGGGTTTCTGAAAAAAAATATCCGTAGAAAGCTCTCAGTGGTACACAGTTTACAAATATGTTAATTATTAGATGAATACATATGTTTTTCAGCAGTCTTAACTATTCAGACTAATATAGAATCAATCTGTTTTATTATACATTTTTGAAGCTAATATGGCAAGCATCTGGCAGTGTCTTCTCCACATACAGTCAACAAAATTAAATTTGTACACTTAATTAGATTGTAAAGGACTTCTGGCAACCCGGAATCATAAACTCTAGAAACACAGTCAGAAGCCCAAAGGAAAGGACTAGGCATTTCCTTCTGTCTTTTTCTCAGACTAGTCTGATTTTATTGAACTTTTATAAGAAACAAAAGGCAGAAGTTTTAAGCTAACAACTGCTGCTTAAGGCTTCTATTACATCTTGGTTGCAAAGACTTAATTGGTGAGATTTCAGTATTTCAAGTGGTAGATTTTTTTAAAATGTGCTGTCTAATTTTATAAATCACACAATCTCAGCCTGTGGATGGCATGATATGAAATAGATATTACGTTCTATTGCATTACACTCCTTCCATTTTGTTCAAATCAATATTTTGCTCTGTTTATGTAAGAACCACCATAGTATCAACTCAAACATGTTCTTATTCAATGGTTATCTTAAGTGGAAAAAAAGGATCCACTCTTCATGAAATAAGCAGGTATCTCTGCATTCTTATGATAAATTACAAAGACATCTTAAGTGGATTATAGATGGTTTCATAAAATGCATAAGAGTTTTGTTCATCTAATGAAGCAACAAAAGAGCAGTTATATTAAGTGGAGCCTTTATGTAATTTGTCCTTTAATTATAGAAATCAGTGATTACTGAATCTGAACTTGCAAACTATTTCTATCTAAAAATATGGAAGAAAAACTGGAAATAAAGTAAGGAATAAATCCTCAAATGTATGCTTCTTTATCATCCTAAATATAACTAACCATTGTGTGACCTTTGAAACAATATCAGTTAAAGACTTCCTACATGTGTGTCAACTCTTGAAATTCTACTCCAAGATGTGTCAGCATTTTTTTGACTGAAATTGGACATCACATAAAATCTAGACCAGCTAAGGCTTCTTTCTCTGAAACCAGTTACCAGACAAAGAAAACAAGCAGTCAAATAAGAGCAGCCAAAACAAATTAACTCTTGAACCACTTAAACAAATTTCCTACATCTCTAATTTGCACAATAATATGTGGTGGAAGTAACAGGGTAGTTGAGGATTTGCCTTGAAAGATTTGTTTTATATAGATAGGCAGATCATTCTTTTCTAAAGATTTGTAATCTTTGCAATTTTATCCACCTGCAATGGAACATGTATGCAAACTAAACATCATGAAGATAATAATTTTGTGCAAACGGTTTAACCAAAGTTATATAATTTGGGATGATAGACCAGGGAAGTTAATTCGTCCCATCATGGATAAGCTAAGAATTTTAGGTGCACATGCACTCCCCCCCCATCCCAAAAAAGAGGTTCAACTTATCCATGGATGGGTTTCTCTGTAATTTTATTATATTTATTAATATAATACATGTATACTGATACAGTAATACTTTTCAAAAGTTCCTGTATTTGCAATATATATATTTGCATTGTAAACCCATTCCTAGATCCTTAAAATTTCAAAATATTATGAAAAAATGCAGGTCAACTTCTCTGCAGGTAGTACATTTTTTCCCATAGTACTTTGGTTAAAAATTCTAGAGTTGGCTTATCTGTGGATGGGCTTATACATCAGCAATTACAGAACATAGTGTCTTAATTATGAAATTGCTAAACTAACAAGCTTCACAATGTGATTATTAAGGATAGTAAACATTATTTATGACAGGAAGTCATAAATGTTAGTGGACATTTCATCTTCCATTATTCATAAGGTAACAAAGAAATCCAAGAAGACAAGTCAGGTTCTTCTATACTGAGTTCATATTTTAGAAAAATCCTTCCCTTAAACCTTCAGTAACATGCAGTGGGTACTGTATTTTTTTAGACAAACTTATTTCAAAGGATCTTGTCTTAAATTATTGTTCTAAATTTATTGGAAGGTTTAATAATTATTTATTGTTTCTGGATTTTGTTGTGTATAGTTTTTTTTTCTGGATTGTAAACCACCCAGAATTTGATTTGAGATAGGCAGCTATACAAATGTCTTAAATAAATAAATAAAAATTTAATTTAAAACTACCATCTTGTATTTGATGGATTTAGATTTCCCCAAATCAATGAACTGCATCCATTAACACAATGAGCGGTGGCTGTTATTATTCCTAAACGATAGTGCGACCCCATGGAAGTTCCTCCCGGCCTTCCTGTCCTCTAACATCTTCTGGAGTCCATTTAAGCTCATACCTACCGCTTCAGTGACTCCATCCAGCCACCTCATTCTCTGCCGTCCCCTTCTTCTATTGCCCTCAATCTTTCCCAGCCTTAGGCTCTTCTCCAGTGAGTCCTTCCTTCTCATTAGGTGGCCAAAGAATTTTAGTTTCATCTTAAGGATCTGGCCTTCTAAAGAACAGTCAGGTTTGATCTCCTCTAGGACTGACCAGTTTGATCGCCTTGAAGTCCAAGGGACTCGCAGGAGTCTTCTCCAGCACCAGAGAGGCGCTCAGCCTTTCTTATGGTTCAACTTTCACAGCCATACATTGCAACTGGGAAAACCATAGCCTTGACACTTTTGTTGGTGGTGTCTCTGCTTTTTAGTATGCTGTCTAAATTTGCCATAGTTTCCTCCCCACGAGCAAGCGTGTTTAATTTCTTGGATGCAGTCCCCATCTGCAGTGATCTTGGAGCCCAGGAAAATAAAATCCGTCACTATCTCCATTTCTTCCACATCTATTTGCCAAGAATTGAGAAGGCCTGATCCCATGATCTTAGTTTTCTTGAGTTTCAAGCCAACTTTTGCACTCTCCTTCTTCACCCACATCAAAAGGCTCTTTAGTTCCTCTTCACTTTCTGCCATTAAGAATGGTATCATCTGCATATCTGAGGTTGTTGATATTTCTCCTGGCAATCTTAATTGAAACTTTTGATTCATCTAGCCCTGCCTTTCTCATGATGTGCTCTGCATATAAGTTAAATAGGCAGGGCAACAGTATACAACCTTGCCAAACTCCTTTCCCAATTTTGAACCAATCAGTGGATCCATGTTTAGTTCTGTTGCTTCTTGACCCGCATATAGATTTCTTAAGAGACAAATAAGATGGTCTGGTACTCCCATCTCTTTAAGAACTCACCACTTTGTTGTGATCCACACAATCAAAGGCTTTAGCATAGTCAATGAAGCAGAAGTAGATGTTTTTCTGGAACTCCCTAGCTTTTTCCATCATCCAGCGTATATTGGCAATTTGATCTCTAGTTCCTCTGCCTCTTAAAAATCCTGCCTGTACCTCTGGTAGATGCACATATTGCTGGAGCCTAGCTTGTAGGATTTTAAGCGTAACTTTTTAGCATGTGAAATGAGTGCCATGGTGTGATGGTTTGAACATTCTTTGGCATTGTCTTTCTTTGGAATAGGAATGTAAACTGACCTTTTCCAATTCTGTGGCCAGTGTTGAGTTCCCCAAATTTGCTGGCAAATTGAGAGTAGCACTTTTACTGCATCGTCTTTTAAGATGTAAGCAAGTAATTTATTGCAAAAAGAAAAAAAACAATTACAATAACTTTAAAGCACAGAAAATAAAAAGGAACATATTTACATGTGCTCAAAATTTTGTGTGAACCAAACTGTTCTGTTTCTTAGGTTTGCATACTGATATTCTGAATATTCTTCAACTTACTTTAAAATTAGTCAGCTGTTTTTAAAGGTGCAAATTCAGATGCTTATTTTACTTCAAAGTTCAGAAGCCTGCATATTCATTAATATGACCCTGGGAGCAAAAGCCCAGAAAAATTAG